GGGGCGGGGAGGGCAGGGCAAGGGGAGGAGGTGAGGATGAGTTGAAGACGCGAGCGCGGGTAAACCGGTCCCGTCAGGATTGGGGCAATAGCAGCTCGCAGGGAGCAGCTGCAGGCGCGCATACCAGGCCGCGTGGCATTCCGGGAGTCGTGAGCAGTCTGACCAACTCGAAGCAGGCAGATGTGGCACGCTTGCTTGCTGCCGCCTCTTCAAATCTTTGGTATGCACGCTGCAGCACGGGGGGCCCCGAAGGACGAACCGCCCTGAGTGCCAGCAAGTGACTCACTGGGTAAGCGTCACGTCGCCGATGTCTTTTTCTGGGGACTCCTCTTGCATTCCGCCGTTGCAGAAGATGCGCGTTGTCTCGCAAGCGCTCTGCGGAGGGGAAGAGCGAGCCGGGGTTGTCGCGGTTGCGAGTTTGCGATGCGTACTGCGATACGCAAGCGGGCCGCGTCCTTTGCACGTGCAGGATCCAGAGTGCGGCTTCCTTTCTTGTTGCGTGCTTTCTACCAGCAAGGACGGCTAGGTGTCCGGCGCTGACAAGAGCTGCAATTGAGCAAAGTAACCCTCCTCCCCAACCACACTAAATGCGCGCGCACACACACATGCATGCACACACACGTTCACACGGCAGGCACGCACGCATGCGCGCGCACGCAAGCACACACACACACACACACACACACACACACACACACACTTATTCTCACTCTCTCCCACATACACACTCTTCCTCTCTCTCTCTTGTAAAGGCACACACTCGTGCACGCAAATGCACCCACCGTGGCTGCCTTGGGGCCCGACAACCGGCCGGCGTATTTGCAGGCGTCGCCAGACACGATGATTTTGTCAGGGTTGACGGGAGCTCCAGAGCAGCTGTCCTTGCAGTTCTGCCAGCAATGATTCGTCTGAACAGAAGGGGAGAGGGGTCAGCACGGACGAAAGAAAGGAAAGGCGAGTCAGGTGAATTGCAAAAGTGTACTATCCTAGTAGGATGGACAGACCGGTAGTGTGAGGCTGCGCAGTACGGACCACACACCAAAGATAACACTTTTTTGTGCAGTGAAAAGAGGTTGGATTGGTGAAAGGCGCCAAGCAATGATTGTGGGTGTGTTTGAGGAGGTGTTGGTGGGGTGGGCGGGCGAGGGCGGGAGCAGCCCGGGCCTTCGCTGGGAGGGTAAGCAGGGCCAGTGCACAAAGGCTGTGCACCGGGCGAAACGTGGCAAGCCACGGTGGCAGCGGCGCCGCACCTTGCAGTCCTTGCATTCGATGCAGGGGCCAGACTGGGCGGTTGCGACGCTCAGGAGGAGCGCCAGGGCCAGAGCTGCCAAAGCAGCCGCGGCGTGATGGCGCATGGCTGCTGATTCTGGCGGACTGGGCGCAAGGGTGGTGGCGCGGGTGTCAATTCGTTGATTAGAGGCCCTGAGTTCTGCAATTGTCAGATCCAGACGTCAATAGCTTACCGTATCGTACTGTACTTGAAGAGAAGTACAGTACGGCGTGATGATGTGTACGTAATCACCGTCCAAGAGCTCGTTTACGGGGGCAGGAGGCTTGGTGCTGTGGTAGATTGAACAATGGCAAGATCCTGATATACTGCTTCCATGCAGCCTGCACTGTCGACAGATTCCGCGCAGCGAATGCCACGTTAGCCAAGCGTCCAGGCTTGTGTCATACATGGAGGAGCTCCGGAAAAAAGCGGCTCAACGCACCTTATTACCTGGATCGTGAGCTAATGCACCGGCGTACCGGCCAGAGGGCGTCCCGCGCGCGTTGTCCCGCGCGCTGCTGCACGTACGTTTGTCACCCAGCTGGTGTGCAGCTGGAACCGGTGACCTGCAAGCGTGGACCGCTTTGTGACGACCAAGGCACTGGACCACCTGGCAGGCGGCTTAATCAGCCTTTAATCAACGCGTATTGACACCCGCGCCACCACCCTTCCGGCCAGTCCGCCAGAACCAGCAGCCATGCGCCATCACGCCGCGGCTGCTCTGGCAGCTCTGGCCCTGGCGGTCCTCCTGAGCGTTGCAACTGCACAGTTTGGCCCCTGCATCGGATGCAAGGACTGTCGGGTGCGCCCGTGTTGCCGCCTTCGCTTGTGTTGTGACCACGTTCGGCTCGGGGCACAGCCTCTCTGCGTACAAAGCCGTCATCCCGACATAGAAAGCCCTTGCTGCTCACGCCCTCGCCCGCCCACCCCACTGACACCTCCTAAACCGCAATCGAGTTATCCTTGGCGCTCTTCACCAAACCAACAGCTCCTCACTGCAAAGATGCGCCACCTCCACTGTAGGGTCCATACTGCGCAACCTCCCACTTCTGGTCTGTGTCAAGCTACACTTTTGATCTCACCTGAACCACATCTCCCACAACCCAGCTCGTCCCTGCCGACCACTCTCCCCTGGTTTCAGACGAACAACTGCTGGCAGAACTGTAGCCCGAGTTGCCCCGGGGTTCCAGTCAACCCTGACCAAGTCCTTGTGTCTGGCGACCGCTGCAAGCGCGCTGGCGAGCAGTCGGGCCGCACCGCAGCCTCGGTGGGTGCATTTGAGTGAACCGTTCCGTGCACGTACGTGTGTGTGTTGTGATTGGGGAGGACAGCGCATTTATTTGGGGCTGACCGCAGCTCGTTCCCGCACCGAACACCTCTCCTTGTTAGCACGAGCATGGAAAATGAGAGCAAGGCGCAATCTGGGGGCTGCCCGCCGCCACGGGCCGTCAAGAACACGGGCAGCCGGCGCATCGCAGTCCGTGAAGCTTGGACCGCAGCCGTCGCGTACCCTGTCTTGCTCCTTTCCATATCGCAGACTGCTTGCGAGACGGCGCGCCGCTTCTGCAACGGCGGAGTGCAAAACCTTTCTGCACGGGGTGGCATCGGCCTCACCACGCTTTCCCAGTGAGTCGCTTGCCGTAGTGCCGGGCGGTGCGGCCTTCGAGGCCACCTGTCCTGCAGGGTGCATTGTAAAGGTATGAAGGGGCGGCTGCACGCAAGCATGTTCCCTGCACCTGCTTCGAGTATCCAGCCCGATCGTCATGACTCCTCGAAGGCCGCACGGCCTGGTATGCGCGCGTGCAGCTGCCCCTTGCGAGCTGCTCTTGGCCTGGCTCTCTGCACCGGCTTACCCTGCGCTCGTGGCCCCAACTCACGCATCCACACCTCCCTCCCACCAGGTGCGCCAACATCGCCCTTGGTGCCTGCCAGCAGGTGGGGGCCTGCATACATTCCAGAGACGAGGGGATGTATTGATGGCAGCCTGCGGGGTTGAGATGAAAGGGCCTCCAAATGTTGATCATGAGTGGCACGTCATATGAGATGGATAGCGGTGCGTCGTCCAAGCAGAGAGCTCAACCATGCAACTTGCCTGCCTGCTGCACCCCAACTTTCGCAGACCGCCAATAATGGCCGCGCCCATTGGCACCCCTGCGGCCGCGAGCTGCAGCACGGCTGGAATCAGTGCACTGCGCAAAACTTCAGGAAGTTCTTTGAGGGAGAGACGCGCGACCTGTGCACCGACGCGTCCCGCAGCATCACCGGCATCGAGCCCGGCACCAATGAGTGGGCAAGCCCGCCCGTCTTTGGCTAGGCGCTGCCGCTCGCGCCTCGCGCCGTGGCAGGTTGCTCGCGTCCCGCCGTCACAAGAAGTACTCCTACGTGTTGCTTGCCAGGGGCTGTGATTGCACAGGTGTTGGCCGTTTTGGCATGCGGCATGCGAGGCGGGCCACAATTACCGTAGACAGTAAGCGGTGGCTTGCGACCGCTGCGTCCCTCACGTGTTACCCAACAGCCCTGCTTGCCGCACAGCACTGTCTTTCAAGTTCTCCAGTTCTCCAGTTTTGAGGCATTTGCTCTGCCCAGGATGCGTGGCCAGCCTGCAGGATGCGGGGTGCTTGCACAACCCGCAGTGCATTTCTTGTCTTGCATGTGATCAAGAACTTGTTGAACAGCCGTCCCTCAAGCACAAGTTTGAGCAATCGTCACCCGCTGGGCAGCTGTTGCACAGCAGCTGAACAAAAGCAACTCAACACACCTAACTACCTGGACCTTTAGCTGATGCACCGGCGTACCGGCCAGAGGGCGTCCCGCGCCGGTCGTCCCGCGCGCTGCTGCACGTACGTTCGTAACCTAGCCGGCAGCTGGTGTGCAGCTGGAACCGGTGACCTGCAAGCGTGAACCGCTTTGTGACGACGAGGCACTGGACCACCTGGCAGGCGGACTGGTGCGAGACGCGCCCGACTGGGCGTGTCACCTACAGGCTTGCAAAATGGCCTCACAGCCTTGTGCCAGCAGCGCGAGCTCTGCAGTCCACGCCTGCCCTTCGCATCCATCATGCTGCATCAGCAGCTACCAAGCAGGACAAATTGGAATAAGTGGCAGCTGTCGTCGATTACATTCAATACAGGAAGCTGACTCAATGCAGGTGGTGCAAGCGCCCCGCAAACCTGCAGGTTGGTCCTGGCACTGCAGATGCCTCAAAAAGTCAACACTGGAAAAAACTTGTGGATCACTGTTGTGTGGCAAGCGGGGATGTTGACACAAACACGCGAGGGGCGCGGCGTTTGCAAGCCACTGCCGCCTTATCCATGGTACTCGAGGCCCGCCACGCCTGCCGCACGCCAAAACGGCCAACATCATCCACACTGCCCTGGCAAGCAATACGCATGAGTGACGTCTGACGATCGTGTGCCCAAAAAAACCCGGCCATGGCGCGAGGGTGCGAACGACGGCGCCTAGCCAAAGACAGGCGGGCGGGCCCACTGGTTGGTGCCGGGCTCCACGCCCGTGATGCTGCGGGATGAGTCGGTGCACAGGTCGCGCGTCTCCCCCTCAAAGAACTGCCTGAACTGCTGCGCACTGCACTGGTTCAGGCCGCGCTGCAGCTCGCGGCCACAGGGGTGCCACTGGGCGCGGTCGTTATTGGCGGTCTGCGGGGGTTGGGTTGCAGCAGATTGGTGGATGGGGGACTTGAGATTGTAGATTGGACGACCCTGCCGGTTAGCTACGGTGTGCTGAGTTTTGTTTAACATCGGAACTTGGATGACGGTACCGACCAGCTATGAGCTGCGACTATATATGCCACATATCGTCCCCGACGCTTGGAGGTCCTCAGACACCATCCCCTGTGAAAAAACATCGCCTCGCTGCTGGAGCCTGCGCAGCTGCCCCACCTGCTGGCAGGCGCCCAGGGCAATGTTGGCGCACCTGCACGGGGTGGGTGGGTGGGTGGGCGTGTGTTTGGATTGTGCGGCGCGACCGTGGGGCATGCGGGGCCGCAAAGTCGGGGAAGGGCGTGAGCAACTTGCAGGGAGCAGCTGAAATCGCGCATGACAAGCCGGGTGCAGCCTCCCGGGAGCGGGCCGATCCACTTCAAAATGGGTGGGGTGCGACCCACCCACATGCAAATGGCCCTCCAAACTTTGGGTCACAAGCTGCACGGGTGGCCTCGAAGGCTGTGCCGCCCTGCTGGCAAGCGACTCACTGGGAAAGTGTGGTGAGGCCGACCCTGCGAGGCGCGGCGAAAGCCGTCTGGCGCCCGCCGTTGCAATAGCGGCGCGTCGTCTCGCAGGCGCTCTGCGAGGCGGGCAGTAGCAAGGTGGGGTGCGCGGCGGATGTCTTGACGTGACAGTGGGCCATGATTTTGGTTGTCCATGGCAGCGGCGTGCAGCACGGCAGGTGCGTCTTCCCCACATGCGGCGCGCTTGCACCGAAGAAGAGGGAGGTGAGCGCTGACAAGTGCTGCGGTTAGCGGCAAATCAATGCTCCGCCTCCCCCTCAAACACTCGCACCGCAAACATGCACACACATACACACACACACAGACACACAGACACAAACACACATACTCGCACACATGCGCACGCAAAATGCACCCACCCTGGCTGCATTGGGGCCCGACTGCTCGCCGGCGCGCTTGCAGCGGTCGCCAGACACAATGACTTGGTTGGGGTTGATGACTGGCGCCCTGGGGCAGCTGGGGCGGCAGTTCTGCCAGCAGTTGTTGGTCTGAAAGGCAGGGGAGAGGGGTCACCAGGGACGGGCTGGGTTGTGGGATTTGTGGGATGTGTTTGATTCATGTGCGAACGGTTGAGTAGTGCAGTACGGGGTTGCGCAGTACAGAGACTGCTGGTAACCCGGAGTGGACATGATTGTTGCAGACAGGAGAAGGAGGATGGTTCAGAGTGGGGCGAGGAGGCGTCAGCGGGTGCGCGGGTGTGGCCAACAGGGTGAGGGGGGCAAGTGAAGGAAGGCGGTGCAATGGGCGGAAGGTGGCGACGGACACAAGCCAAGGCGGCCGAACCGTGCCCCTGGATCCCCCCACGCACCCGGCAGTCCTTGCACTCAATGCAGGGCTGGGCGGTTGCGACGCTCAGAAGGAGCGCCAGGGCCAGAGCTGCCAGGGCAGCCGCAGCGTGGCGGCGCATGGCTGTTGATCCCGGCGGGCTGAGGTGTGCAGAGGGTGTTGCCGCGGCTGACAATATTGGTTGACTAGAAGCTGCGTTCCACTCGGCGTTCGAGTCCGGTAGTTGGCTGATCCAGCTGTCAGAAAGTACGTACGTGCGATGCTGTGATCCCGGAGGGCTTGTGTACCGGTGTGGGAATGTTGTTGCTGAAATTTATGAGCGCATTGAAACACCTCCGCCTTAATAGCTGTCTCCAGGCCTGCAACTGTGAGAGTAACCAGGGCGCGCTCGTAGTGACTGCCACGTTAGCAGGGCGGCGTTCAGGCTGATTGCAAGCAAGAAGGCGAGAATCGGAAAGGAACAGCTCAACACACCTGAATGCCTGGGCCCCGAGCTGACGCACCCACGTACTGGCCAGTGGGCGGCCCGCAAACAGCACTTGCGCTTAGAACCTGGCCGGCAGCTAGTGAACACGCTGGAACCTGGTGACGTGCAAGCATAGCGAGCCTGACGACGAGCAAGGTACTGCACCACCACAGGTCGGGCCAATCCGGCGGCATGGGGGCCAGCCTGGGCGTCACCCAGCACACCTGGCCATTGCGCCAGCGGGCCAAGCTTCTTTGCAAAGCACATTTGCAAGGCCCCCTGTAATGTGCATGTCGCACTACAAACCTAAGTTTCCTCTGCACCATAGGGAAGCGGCCTCGCATCCATGATGCTGCTTCAACAGCTACCGCGCCGCCATGGAAACATCGCATCCCCGGTGTGGGCCAGTTGCCTGTTACCCTTGGACACCAGCACTGAGCTCCCAAGGGACAAGGCACGAGCAAGATTTGGCAGGGGTCTACATAATTACAGAATCCAAAGGGAGGTCACATGTCGCGCCGCAACTCCAGTGCACTTCAGCAGCATCTTGAAACAGGGGTGGAAAGGTCAGGAGTTTCATGTGTCAGGGCGCATTTAGCAGGTCGCCCCGCCGGCCTCGGCGCTGGTCAAAATTGCCGGGGAAAAGGAAGGCACCTTCAGCAGCTGCTCACGCCTGCAGCACAGGGCAGCAATTCGGGGGCTCGATGCAGGCAGCGGCGCGTCTCCGCCCCGCCGCTGTGCGGACGGGGCATGCGGCCGGCCCGCCCAGCGGCGGCAGGGGCGAGGCGGCAGCCCACGAGCGCCTGATTCGGCGCACGCGGGGCACACGGCCTCGCCGCACCAGCACGCCAACTGGGTGGTGCGGGCGCGGCGCCACGCCGCGAATGACCACCGCGGCGGGTTCCGCAGGGCCACATCAGCTTCAAACAGCAGCGCTGAGGCGGTGACAGCAGGGAGCGGCGAGCGCGTGACGCCCTGTGATGGGTGGGGGGCAGGCGTTGAGGGGGCGACCCCGCGCCGGTGGCTGCGGCAGCGCGCGACCTGCCCTAGAGCAGGGGCCAGCCGCGTGCACGACAGCGGTTGCAGGGCGCGCGGGGCGGCGGGGACACACCGTCCTGCCGGGCCCAGCCACGGCAGACGCCACCCCACAAGAGCGGGCGCCGCGAGCCGCGGGTGTGGCCGCCGCTTATGAAGGAAGCGCGCTGAGCCGCCATGCCCGAAGCGCGGTGCTAGGGGACGCGGCGGCTGTAGCGGCAGAAAGAATTGCGACACACGATTGACTCAAACCCAGATCGCATCGCGAAGGTGGAAGGCTCGCTCCCCCCAAGCGGGTGCGGTCGGCCACAACAACAAGGAACGGCAAGCTGAAGCGTATGGTGCATCTCTGGGCGCTCGCCCGCAGGCTGTTTGGCCGCGCTCCTGTCCCAGGACGGCGGGTCGCGCCCTGCCATGCGGCGAAGATACAAGCAGGGTGTCTGTCGCGATGGCCATGGGGCCGAGCAGCCATGGGGCGCAGAGGCCATGAGGCAGGAGGCTCGTTTGACGCACGGCTAAGGGGCGCCCCCAAGGGGAGGCTCTGCTTATGTGTGGCGGCCCCGTGGGGCAGGCGGGGGGTGCGCTCGCGCACACGGTGGGCCGGGCGCGCCCTGCGCCTTCCAACGAGGGGCGGGCGCGCCCCAAAGGAAGGGGGGTGCGCCTGGGGGGGCGAAAGCTTGCGGCCCGCGCAGTGCGTCTGGGCAGCATTCCAATTGGGCGGTGCGGGCGGTGCGGTCGGGCGGTGGGCGTCCGGCGGGCTGCCTGTGGGGCTTGTGCGCACATGCCCGGCTTGGTTTGTGCGGCAGCCTGTGCAGGCCCCTGGCAAGGCGCCCGCCATGACAGCGCCCAGGGCATTATGTGCAGCTCATGAACATGGGCAGAGCATTGGTGGTCTCGCGCCTCTGCGCGTGGGCTCGGCGGGCGCGCAGCGGCAATCTGCGCAGCCCGCAACGG